CCCCCCCCCCCCTATTTTTTCCTTTACAATGAGATTGTCCAAGACATCCACCTGTTTAAGAGAGCCATTTTTTTCCTCGTTACTAGGTGGCTGTCTTAGATAATTTTGAATGCACGCCAAAGTGTGTGTGAGTGTGTGAGAGAGAGCGACTTTGTGTATAAGTAAGGATGTGTGTGTGTGCATGTATGTGTGTGTGTGAGTGTGTGAGAGAGAGCAACTTTGTGTATAAGTAAGGATGTGTGTGTGTGCATGTATGTGTGTGTGTGAGTGTGTGAGAGAGAGCAACTTTGTGTATAAGTAAGGATGTGTGTGTGTGCATGTATGTGTGTGTGTGTGTGCGTGTGGGGGGGCAACGCGAACATTTGTGTTCTGATTAGTTTGTGGCAGTTACAACATGTTCAGTTACAACATAATGGTCAAAGTACTTTATCACAGAAAGACATCATCAAAATCAAGTATAATAGTTAGATCCACAAGGGGTGGTGAGGAGGAAGGGTCCGGGAGTACCTTCAAGGTCATATTCTATTCTAATGGATAGTTAGAAAACCTTTCTCTGAAAAGCTAACCCAGAACCTTCTTTCATATCACAAACATCATTTTTTAGAACCTAAACTTTTTACTTTTCGAGAAAGGAGAAATCTGCACTCATAATTTATTTAAAGATATTAAAAATAAAGAAGCGGTATAAAAAAGATTTAAAGAATAATTGGGGGCTCTCGTGGTGTTCACCTCTCATTCTACAGGTCCCGGGTTCGATTCCGATAATTTTCTTCTCCAAAATTTTCTCCTTTCACCACCTATCCTGCTCTCTAACAATGTTCTGTCATCTGCTTTCGTCTCCGCTTTCTGCCCCCACCCCCTCACCTACTTTGCCCCCTCCTCTGGGCTCCTGACTTTTTCTGCAGCCTTTCTACTGCTTCTCCTTGGCCCCTTCTTACTGCTGTCTTTCAGCCACAGCCCTGATATTATGGTAGGCAAGATCTACACCTAGTCTTCTCGGACAAGGGCGAAAAATTTCAGAGGTCCCGTGTGCAAGTTGTGCACGTTAAAGATCCCTTGGTGGTCCAAAATCGATTAGAGTAGGCTTCGGCAACCACCTGAGCAACATTCAAAATTTCCAACGAACAGAAAATATTTAACGTGTCGCGGCGCTCATATCACCTTATGCAGTCGCGAGCGCCTTGAAACACTTACCCCACCAAAAAAGAAAGACAAAAAGAGAGAAAAATTGACAAATTGACAATTTAAAGAAGCATTATAAAAAAACTAATTTAGAAAGATCCTTATGCAAAACAAATTAAAAGCTTCATACACATCATTACTCAAAATGTGAGGCAAATAATTTATCAAATTTAGTAGACACACTTTAAGGGAGTCTTTGACTATCAAAAAATGAGGCGACAGAGGACACCAGTATTTTCAGGAGCCCACTCCTGACCTTCACCCGCAGAGGAGCAACTTTACTTAGAAACATACCTTCCTTGTCATCAGAATTGTCATCATCACTGCTATCAAACAAATCTGTCTTGATGCGTCTTCTGCTTTTCTTCTGAGGCATTTCATCATCTGAAAACATATTCATTGTTATTACAAGCAGAAAAAAATAGATAAATTTTCTAAAAATGTTAGTTTGGAACTTCCTCACAAAATCCCCCCACTCTATACTAAACTTCTGATCAGAGTTTTGGGAAGAGAGGAAAGATCTTGAAGACTTACACAGGAACTTTTATGTGATAGAACTTTAGGCTAATAAAATAAGTCATAGTCACAGTAAATGTAAATTATTATTTTCAGAATATGAAAAAGTCTATTCAAGTCTTATTTTTTTTTGCACAATGTGCATTTGATCTTGATTTGGTCCACCTCTGATATGACCATGTGTAGAGGGTGAAGGGGTAAGTGAGCTGATCATGTACTATTACCAGAAATGCGAAAGTGTCATAGCATCATTACAAATTTTACTAAGCTCAGTGAAAAGTGAATGAGGTAATGTGTTCAGTCTATGACGCAAACTTCTGGCTGTTTAAGACTATGGTTCATGTTTGTTAAACCTTGATTTCACACTAACCTTGGACTTACTGACACCGAATGTCCGACCCGATGAATAAGTCGGATGTGAGGGTCATTGTGCTTATAACAAGCTTCATGGACTTCCTGCATATACATTACATTTCCCTTTCTGTTTACCACATCATTATTACAGCCCATTGAAAAAAAAAGGAATATGATATATCTACGTCTTAAAAAGTTTACAATTCACTTCCGTCACAAACATTACCCACAACACACCTGAATCTTGGTTACGTTTGGACTTTCTCGATGGCCTGTGGGGGAGGAAAAAATAAAACAAAATGTAAAATAAAAAACAAGAAACAAAATGCAAGAACTACAAGACAACATAGAAACTTGGTAATAAACTTGGTCTGATTCTGAAATTAATGTCTTGCTATTAACACAGCTGTCCCATTGTTTGAGAAAGAAGGGGAAAATCAAATTTAGATTTCCGAATTCGTCTGGAAAATTGGCACCTCTGCTTTTTAGAAGCTGGTTTACTCTGATATTTACAATACAAAAGGCACTTCTGACACTCATTATCACAAAGCAACAAAGATGCTGAAATACAAGTCATGTTATGAAAGGACTGAACTCATCAACAAGATGCAAGCATTTCATTTTTAAGGTATTGCCTGCCTGTGATTGGAGAAGGCCTGTGATATATGTACCTAGAGTTATTTCCAATCATATAAAAACATGAGCAAGAGCACAGTATAACCCGCTGTCAACGACTTACTTCTCTTTCTGCTTCTCGGTGGATCCTTTTCCTTTTTTCTCTGCAGGCTTCGCACTCTCTGTTGTTTTGTCATTCTCAGTTTTGCTAGACTTAGCCTCAGTTTTGCCTGATTTAGCATCACTGTTTCCAGACTTTGACTCCGTTTTCCCAGAGCTATCTTTTTGTTGAGCGGAGAAAAATGCTAGCATGCCTCCTTTTTTTTCTGTCGCTTTCGCCTGGAAATAGAGCATTGTCCACAAAAGAACCTTGAAGACAGAGTAATAGCGACACTGAAAAACTTAACACTCAAACATGCCACACATTTTTTTTTGCTATAAGCTTTACAGCACTTGGAACACAAATGGGTCATTTAAGTGTCAGAGATTAGATGTGTTACTAGAGAATAACATACAAAAAAAAAAAAGGAAGAAGAGATAAGACGAACCCACAATGAATGAGATGAGAGATGTTTAACAACAAGAAACCAATCACAATCATAGGTGATCAAATGCTTTATATCTGTAAGTAAGATACAGTGGAGGTCACTTAAGAAAAGGAGGTCACTGTAAGTAAGAAAACATTATACAGTGGAGGTCACTTAAACCGAAATCTGCGGGACCACCTGCACTTTCTTCTGTTTAGTCATAGTTTTCAGTTTAGAGAGATTGCTCAAATAGAATTTAAAAAAAGAAAGAAAGAAATATTTTAAAAATTGTGGATTCTATAAATTTGTTTGGTTCACAGCTATTTTCAGCCTAATTATGTTCAGTTTAAACACTCCACTGTAATCAAGTTTTATATACAACTTTTGGGTTAGCATAATTTATCACTCCAAAGGTTGTTCAGACTAACATTATCGGACAATGTTGAGCTGTGGTTTACCACCTTTCAAAACAATAATAACCACATTTCATCCACACATTTTTAGAGAAGAATATTTGACTAAAATAGTAGAAGTAGAAGCGACATACCACATCAGAGTATCAACCAATTTTTAAAACGTTACATTTGATATTATAAACGTTTAAACAAATAAAAAAGAACAAGATAATTCATTCATTTATTACAAATACTTACAAAAATAATTTTAAAAAATAGCCTCCTCTCTTCAATAAAATTTTGAGTTTCCAAATTGGGAGTGTTTTTGTTAGACGAAGTTCTTCAACATTAGTTATAATTAAGCTGTGCACAATTTTAAGATTTAAAAAAAAAGATAAAATGTTCTTAACTTCGAAAAAGTCTAATGAAAGCGCATCTCTTCTTAATGCAACAGCAGACATTTAAGTCGGACCCAGCTGATCTAGAAATACATTGATTTTCAGAAGTTGACAACATGATCAATAACAATATCATACCCTTCAGTACTTTCATGCAACAAAGACACCCTATAAACAAAAGAACACAACAACGTATAACCTTTCAGTATCGTACCAACCTTTTCTTTACTTGTCTGCGTCTTCTCTGAGGCTGCAGTCTTCTGTCCATCACTACCGCCCTTCTTCCCAGCTGCAGAAGCAAACATGGAAGCGATGCTTCCTTTCGCTTCAGTTTTTTTCTTTGCAGCACCCTGAGCCCCGTCTGATGAAGCTGTCCCACTTTGCTTGGACGTGGGAGAAATCTTGGGGCCTGGGGACGTTTTGCTAGCTGGTTTTGAGCTTTGTTCAGCCTGCAGGACACATAAAAAGGTATAAATATGAACTAAAAAACATTTGAAAGAATTTGATTCAAGTATAACACGCCATATTTATTGTATTTGTGACCAACACTGATAGTAAAGCTTACACTATATTGCAAATATGATTATGACATGCTTCCATTAATATTTACAATTTTGTATAACAGAGAAAGGGAACAAACTCAGCGTCTAATTTTATTTTGATTGAGTTGTCTTACCTTTGATCATGTGGCCTTAATTTTAGATATTTTGCACACTGTCTGTCAATGTTGTGAAAATTTTACTTTGTCAAGCTTTACCTGTCAGCATGTTTCGTGGATCGAAGCATGTGTTTAGAGGAAGTTACCATGCGTTTGTACATTTAAATTGTATGGTAAAGAAAATCATCATATATACGAAAACATATGATTGAGCAGAGCATGCCTTTGTTTGTTTGTTTAGTATAGGGTTTTACGGCGCTCGCAACTGCATAAGGTCATATGAGCGCGCGGGACACACCTAATACTTTTTCGTTGGTAGGAAATTTTGAATTTTGCCCGGGTGGCGGCCGAAGCCTACTCTTATCGATTTTAGACCACCAAGGGATCTTTAACGTGCGCAACTTGCACACGGGCCCTCCGAGATTTTTCGCCCTTGTCCGAGAAGGCTAGGTGTAGATCTTTCCTACCAGAAGATCAGGGGTGTGGTAGAAAGACAGCTGTAAGAAGGAGTCAAGGAGTAACAGTAGAAAGGCTGCAGAAAGAGTCCGGAGCCCAGAGGAGGGGGCAAGGGAGGTGAGGGGGTGGGGGCAGAAAGAGGAGACGAAAGCAGACGACAGAATATTGCTAGAGAGCAGGAAAGGAGGTGAAAGGAGACAATTTTAAAGAAGAAAATTTTTCGGTTGCTACCCGGATTCGAACCCGGGACCTTTGAATGAGAGGCCAACACCTTAACATCTAGGCCGCGAGAGCCCCCGAGCATGCCTTTGTATGGCGTACGTTTAGGCGGATACTACTGTAACAGAAAACAGGACAAAGTTTCAGTGACTGGCAATATGTTTGCTGTAAAAGTTTGGTTTTAGATGTAAAGCTGTGTAACTTCCAATTTATAAATTACAACCAAGCAGTTTGTGGTCGTGTAAAGCAGAGACAGCATCAAGAAAAGAGTATTTTTTAAAGCCTGTATAATCTTGAAAGATGAAAAGGGGAAAAGAACTGAAACACTTGCTATCTCAACTTATTTTTGGGTCTTAAAAAAAAAAGACTTGATAACTGTCTGTCTCAACACAGGGACCAGATAACCGTATGTCAAAATGCAATGTATTATGTGTATTAGTATCCAGACAAGAGAAAAACATGAAAGAATTTGGAGTTCTCAGATTAGGGAGTTTTTATTTCACCACAGAACAGGAAAAACTATGAGTGGGACATACAGAGAAGTCAGTTTAAACTGAACAAAACAGCCGTAGGCCACAAGAAAATAGATGCCCTGATTTTTTTCTTCACTATTTGAGCAATCTCTCTTAACCAAAAAATATGTCTAAACCAGAAAATCCGGCAGCCCCGAAGCTTTCGGCTTAAATTGACTCCACTGTACTCTGCCCCAATAGTTATATGTGACCTCAAAAAACTGACTGACTGCAAAAATGCAATGTACAGGGTAATGGAAACAGAACCTCCTCCTTATTTAAAGTCAACAAAATCATCTCTAACCGTAATCCCCCACAATCATTCCAAATGAAGGAAACTCCTCTGTCACTCACCACAGTTTTCGCACTCTTTGTTGACTGGGGAGTTGTAGAATCTCTCATAGTAGCCCAAGAACACTGGATGCTGCTCAGACTAAAGAAATTAAATCCAGATACACTGGGGTTAGAAGTACAAATGAGATCAAATTTATTTAACTGACCCCTGATATACCAACTGATAAATAACTGACAAGCTGTTTAAATATCCTGATCCCTAAAAGTAAAACTTTTCAGGAGTGAAAAAAAACAATCTTTCTCATTCTTTTAACTATTAATCATAATTGCATTTATATCTCAGATTCCCGGGAAGCATAGAGTGCTAGCTGTAGATTTCACATGTTCAAACACTAATAAACTGACAAGATCTTTTACTGTCTATAGCCAGGTACCCATTTCCACCAGAGAGAAGTGATGAAAATTTGTGTAAAGTGACTTTCCCAAGGACACAACATCGGGCATCTGACAGGATTCACATCCACGACCTTACGGTTGCAAGTCCGAGAGAGTAACCACTTATAATTATGCCGGGGGTTAAAAAATTAAAGCTTGAAACAGAGATGTCTGAATTTGTCACCATATAGGAACTGTTAAAGGAAGCAAATGAAAGACAGGTAGAACAAGAAGAGATGCAGAGTAAATGACAATAGATTCTAGACACACATATAAATATTTGGGAGAAATACAGAAGCTTTTATCGACTTAACACCAAAAATTTTCAAAACTAAACGTTCTATAATTTACAAAACTTACACATTTTCTTCCTTTCTATGGTCCCAAAAGACTATTTCCGTATCCTGCATCACGTTTTACCAAAAACAACATATTTTTCAGGAGAGGAAGGAAGACCACATAATTAGTCTCCATTTTGTTTTTCAGAAAGGCTTAAAATCAAAATCTATGTAACCTGTTTCTCCCCAATATTTACAAATTCTCTAAAAAAGAACGAGAACAGAAAACTGTCCACTCCTACCCTTGTCTTAAACGGGCAAGTTGCCTGTGACCACAACATCACGTTACAAATACATTTATCATAAGGTCTTCTTGCAGCATTTTCCTCATGCATTTACATCCTCACCAAGGAGAAACAGTCCAGTTGTCCTGAATCACATCATAGTCAGTTTGGTACAGGGCAGTTGTATCCTGAGAAACAACAAAGACATTTAAAATGCGCGAAGACTATTGGGAAAAAACCGGCAGTCACATTTTATACTTAGGGGGCTTAATGAAACTACAAGTATAGCTTAAACAGCATTACATTTTAAAGGAAAATAAAACAGCAGGGTCCATAAACTTGGCAAGTGGGAAAAAAACTACTACTCATAAAGACAGAAATTACTAACATAACAAATGCAAAAACCAAATATTCAAACAACCAAATTACCATTATAAAAAAAGAAAACTGAAAGGTTTATAACAGGAAACAAGTTGGACAAAAGTCGTAATCAGTAGAAGCACTGACCGCTCACATGTTAAGAAACAAGACAGGTTGTACTTTTGGGCACATCAAATTTAAATGGCTACATTTCATAAGGTAATGGTGAGAAATGGAGACATACAGTCGAACCTGTGTAAGACGGAATCGCAAGGGAGCGAGAAAAAAATTCCGTCTTAGACAGGGAAATTTAGGGGGAGATGGAGTTTGGGAGGGTTCAAAGGCCCAGCCGGTGGGATCAAGAATCGCTTGTCCGATCAGCAAGCAGTGGTCAAAACTTCACACCTCTCAATTGCTATCCTGTCTGATAATGACATGTGTCAGTCTTACTTATCCAATTACCACCAGTGCTTGCCTTTCACAGGACCACAGTTTGACCTATTAAAAACAAAAACGTTGGAACATCTCCTTTGCTTCCCCTTAACGGTACTAAACCCCACCCACCAATGCCACCCCTTACTGCCATCATTGCAACAACGATTCGAGGAACTCTTTTCTCGGCTGGCCCTACGATCAGGGCGGCAGGCATTGGTCAATCTAATTTCACACCTCTGGCTTCTGGACTCAGGAAAGTTTCCGTAGTGGCTGGCTCCTTGAGCACTCTCACGGGCAGTCGAGAGATTTCACACCCACACTCCACTGACCATTTGCATCGCTCAGGGCTCACATGATGGGGTAACATCTACCCCCAAATTGCACCCCTACTCCCCTTCCTCGCCATCGGCATGGCCATGGCGTTAAGTTTAGAGCCGGCGGAATCAAACTTGCGAGTTTTGTTTCAAATCAGGGCTGAGCGGGCAAAGCATTGTCCGTCTTAGACAGGTGAAATCCTCGGAAGGGAGCGGATTTTTCTTTCCGTTTTCGTGTTGGACAGGTTTCCATTTTATACAGGTAATTAAAGAGGAATATATCAAGGGGGGAGCGGGGAGATTCCGTTAAGACAGGTTTCCGTTAAGGCAGGTTCGACTGTATATGAATAAGAGCAGCTGTTGGAACGGAGTCCTGCTTGAATTTTATAAAAAAACGAAACAATAAAATGGTTTGACCACCTGTTACAAATGCCACATCAAAAGAATAGAACACCAAATACAAAGGCTAGAGAGGAAAGATAGATCACACAAAAAAGGATTGAGGAGTCAAGGGAACTTCCAGAAACTGAAACATCTCAATTGAAAATGAAAGAGCTGCACAACTGGCCAACCATCTCAATGCTCAACAGGAACAGAGGTTTAAACAGTAAAAAGTAATGGTATGGGTTATCCCTCCCTTTCCTGGACTGATAACAACAACGCATCTCTCAAGACATAAAGGTTATTTAAGAGATCGGACATCCAATTTGAACAGCCACTGCCCACAGGCTGAGAATAACGGGTGGTAAGCCTTGGCTTCCTAAACTACACAAATTTAAGAATGCCTTGGAAATTCAAAGCACTGCCCTGTTGTAATTTATCCAGGGTTGCTGTTATTGATCCAGATACAGGGCAACCCACACTAGAGCCAATTAAGATATCAGCTGAAGTAATGGTGCACCCATTTCACCAGGAACAGATGAAGGAAATAAAAACATCAATAAATATTACAAGGAACCACCAGAGCATCCGACAAGTGGGACAGGTAAATTCAAAAGTTTAACTGCTGGATTGTGAGAACCAGATTCAAAGTCAAACTTCAACAGGGGTGTTTCTAAACCAAGTGAAGTCAAAACGTATCACAGTTTGCAACTTCATCTAATCACAGATGGTTGTTGCTGAGCAGTAGATTACAATGAGTATGAACAATAAATACCATAGCTTATTATCCATAACAGTTAAAGACAAGAAAAACACAGAGAAGAGGCAGAAAGAGCACTTTTTCTTAGAAAATAACATACAGTGCATTCAACAGACTGTGGAGCGAGAAGAAAGGAGGTTGGCAAGATAAATTAAGCCATACCAAACGTACATAGCAGACCATACGCGCTCATATGACCTTATGCAGTTATGAGTGCCGTAAAACCCCATACTGAACTAACTAAAGACCATACGGGAAACATTCCTGACCTTAAGCTTGACTTTCTGTACACTGTACACATGACAACTGGTGACTGGCTTCAGTTCAGACTTGACCACATCAAGCTGGGATTCTGGAACCACCACACATTTGTGCATCTGAAGAGAGGAAGTTTGATTTTACTATAATTTTTGCTTACATACTATACTGGAGTTTAATACCCTACTCGTTATATCATTTCAAACACAGAACACTTAACGAAAATAAGGAAGAACATACCATAAAACCTTCACAACTATTGAAAAGTAATAATAGAACTGCTACAGTGATATAAGATTTTATGCAAAAAAGTAACACATGGCCTTTATGAAAATTTACACTGATATTAATGTGAACTTTTATGAAAATTTACACTGATATTAATGTGAACTTTTATGAAAATTTACACTGATATTAATGTGAGACAGGAAAATACAGGGTCAGTATTAGATATTTTTTCAAGGAACAGCGATTCCTAGCTAAGGACAGCGTACATAAACCAAAAAGTTAAGTTCAAGTTTATATCTTCTCATCCATTCAGTTTGATTTCTTTTGATCTTACTTGACCTAGATACTAAACATGGTCGCTGCCTGAAGGTTCATTCAAAACTGGACACAACTATCTATCTCCACCACAAAAGGAATAACAAAATGTAAAGACACACCAAAGCAAAAGAAGAAAAATAAAGCATAATATTCACAACCTTCACCGTCAAATTATCGTACTTGCATTTTGTAAGTCACATTCATTTTCAAAAAATCACATGACATGAAAATTATACTACACCAAAAGAAAAGGATTTATCTGGGTATAGGGTCTAAACTTTCAGTTGAAAAAATAAGTAGGGCTCACAAAAAGCCATATTTTTCATCTTTCAGCACACCATGCTTACCATACATGCAGACAAAAGCTATCATGATAATTCAAAATGAAAGAGATGAGCTAAAAAATGTCACTGTAACTCACAGGTTCGCCAGTTTTTGATTGGCCCAAGCCCGCAACAAAGTAAGTGACATTGATATCATCATTGCCTCCTTTGTTGCGTGCAGTTGTCACAAAGGTGAAGAGTGCTCTGAGGAGATATGACAAGGTGAAAATGTCAAGTGAAAGAATAACACAAGAATTAAGGTTTGTCACTGGTAAAAAAACAAAACAACCTCAACTACAACAAACAAACAAAAAACTTAATGAGAAAACAAAATGATTTAGAGGTAAAGAATTTGTAGATATATATCCACTCTAAACATATTCCCCTTCTAGTCTAACTCATTTGACTGCCGTAATATTGAAATGTCTATCTACAAGGAGATATATATATGCTCAAACTTACTATTAGTATCAATTATATCACCGGTCAGACCCTGACTTACAAGGATCCCACAAATTATTTTAAAATTTAAAGGTAAGTTATACTCATGAGGTAGGATGAACTAAAACGCACAATAAAAACAAGAAAATATTCTGATAACTTGTTCAGGGATTCTCAATGAAAAGGCAGGATGTGAAGAGTAGAAGTCCAGTCAAACTCCAACCTGCCTTAATGAAAACCTGTGCAAGACAGAAACCTGTCATAGCAGAATCTCTACATTGCCCTTTGGGATAATTATTCTCTAGTTACCACACCTCCATAAAACGGAAACCCGCTAAACGCTGAAATGAAACAAAAATTTCTTTATTTCAGAGGGTTCTTGACCTGTCCAAGATGTAAAATGCTTTGCCCGCTCAGCCCTGATTTAAAACAAAACCTTTATGCCATGCCGCCTGATGAGGGAAGGAAGGGTGCAGTTTGGGTGAGGGGTGGGGGGTATAGCTATACCTATTCCATGTGAGCCCTGAGCACAGCAGATGGTCAAAGAAAATCGAGTCAAAGACGACATTTCTATCTGGCTTCCCAGCAATTCCATCTTGGACAGGTTCAACTCTGCCTTTCCAAAATTGAAGAGATAAACACTAGATAATAACAGAGGCCCCTTCCCAACCTGAGGTACATGCGGTACAACAGAAGTCAAGATGGTAGCGGGATACACCCACCATTACCTTAGGACAAAATCTTAAATCAAATGTATCCCTCCAGAAGCCAGTAGTAAGAAATTTATTGGAGAGGACACTAAAGACTATATATATATATGATTGTTTTGCTATACACTTCTCTATGGACAGAAAATGAACATAGAGGATACAAGGACCAGATAAACTCTTTCCAGTTCCATGGCAGTGGTCTGTTTTTGACAAAACTGAATGTTGCTACTGTTTTCAATTCTTGAAACAAAAAGCATGGCTAAGAACGACATCATGTATGCCATGACATCTTAATAATTACTTACTGTTTGGCAGCATTAATATTTATATTCAGAGTGAGGCTTAGCCATCTGCATGTCACCTGAAAAAGAAAAAAAAACAACTTATTTTCTGAAACCAAACATATTTTGCAGGGGGAAACTTTAAAACTAAAAGTCCAACTCAATACCATTCATTATTAATACTAATACCTATTTGGCTTCAACAAATATTCAAAATTTTCTGAAGGACTTTTCAAGGTCATTCATCGCAGTCAAAAATATGTTCCTGTGGCTGGTGACTACATTCAGAGAGAAATAAGTGTCTACATACATACCAAATTTCAAGTTCGTAGCTCCACTCCTTCATACTCAGGTAAAAAACTTTTATTGTCCCCTTGTATGAGAATGAGCACTATCAAATTAAAACTATCAGATTTCTTGAGCCTAGTAAGTCTAGTGCCAGTGCTTTCTTGTTGCACTGTCCCAGTTAGTCTTGGCCTGCCTTGACTTATACTTATATAAAACTCATTAAGACTACAACTAGTCAAACCTCGTTGCGCGGACACCCCCCCCCCCCAGTTGTACCGCCGGCCCAGCTTACCGCCAGGTTTTGTCAATGTATGAAAGGGTCCCCTATATAAAAAATAGTATATTTACGCCTCTCCCATCCACCAACTGTCTCAATTGTATGGTCCTTATATTAAACTAGTGTAAGTTTACCTCGCACCACCAGCGAACTGGCTGCCAGAAGTACACAGTACACACTAGGCTACAGCATGGCCCACAGCACATCCACTACGTGGGTGGTTGCTTGACAGTCTTTCACACACAAGTCTCCACGAGCTAGGCCTAGATCAAACACTTAAATTTTACTTTCGCCAATTCGCTCCCTCCCCACCCTTGTCTTGAAGATAACAGGCAACATTGCAATATATGGAAAGATCTACACAGATGTAGTGTGTCGCAAGCGAACAAAATGTGTAATGTAGAAGTAGAAGAATAGAGTACTTTATGATATCTAATCAAAATAAAACATAAGAATTCAGAATCAAATTTCACAAAAATATTTTCCTTACAATCTTGTTTTCGTCGAGCACATATTCCTCAATATTTTCTTGAACGAGACTTGAATCCGAAGACTCGTCCATTCTTACACTTTTCTTTCTTATATTTCTTTTAACAGACTTCGTTTCGTTTTCGATTCTTTCAACTCAGCTGCATTTCCTTCTACTTTCTAGGCGACTTGCTTTCCCGCTACCTCCTTGGTTGCTAAAAAGGCGGAACAAATATTGGCTGTTCAAGCAAAAGTCCAAACAGTTTTCTTATTTGAGTTTCATATCGATTATTTGTTTAGTGTTATTTCAAAAATTTAAAACTTTCGAAGATAAACTGTCATTTAAATTTTTTGGTTCAAATCTTGGTTTATTAAAATTGTAATTGTTCTCCAAAATAGTCTTGTTCAAGTTTTGAATTTACCATCAAAACAATTATGGAGGTGGAAGCCTGCACGGCCTGCTAGGCACCTCTTGTTTAGCTTTCAGATTCATTCATTTTGTGCAGCACAATGTCAGCCGATGATGGTGTTATTGGAACAAACGATGATGCGTCGTCGTGCAAACGATTTGCAGTAGACAAGGGCTACTGGCATGATCCTTTTATTTCTCTACTCATTCCCAAAGCCACGTCGAGGAAAGCACCTGAAATCAGCCGTGGTTACTATGCAAGAGTCAAAGGAATACAGATCCTGATTGAACATTTTTTAAGGGTAGAGGCTCTTTTAGTTTTAATCTTTTTTGGAGTGGGGTACCATGCAATGACTTGATAAGTGATACTGGTGCATTCTGTAACTGGGAGAAATAAATGGCTAAGATGGGGGGAGGACTTCCTTACTGACTAAGACTAAATAAGGCCAAAGTGGATTTGAGTGGAATATAGAGGGGTAGGGTTTGGGTTACGGGTTATGTCTCTTCTTTATTGTGTGTTTGTAGGGTTGGCCCCTCGTTACGGAAGTCCTTCCAAAACGGGCATGGGCAATAATAAGTGAGGGCAAACCGCGAAATGCGACTAAACGTAGAACGTAGCAATGCCAATCGGGCTTTCCCGCGTGGCGAAAATTTGGTCCCCGTTTACGGGCGATTTTGCGGACCCGGCCGAAGCGTAGGTGACTAACTTTGTCAACCTCGGTCTGCTCTATTTCCGAACCAATCCGAATGAAACTCGGCAACCAATCAGAAAATAGGGCAAACTAATGATATGTGGACGTTGAAGTTTGTACACATAAATTAACCTATACTTTTGGTGTAGGGAACACTTTCGTATCGTGTACACCGAAAACTATAAGGAGTTTGAATTTCAACGCCGAGATGGTAATAGATCTATCTATCCTCTATAGTGTGCTCAAATTTGAATGTTCTGTGTCAAGTAGTTGTTTCACGACTACCCCCCTATCCAAAGCGGCTTCGCATGGAGACGGGTCATTTTCCCCTCACTCTCGTGGCAAATGTATGTGACCTACAAATCCCCGCATGACTATTTCGGGCCCGTTCATTGGTCACTTGAAATAGGGCAATGGCGGGCGCGCGCATCCGGTTTTTTTTCTCTCTATTCCCCTGTAACATCGCAATAGGGGTATTCCGAGGCGAGATTATCTCGTCTCGGGGTGTTCGCGTCTCAGCGGGGAAAAAGAATTTTTAATTGTACGGCATGCTAGATTGAATTAACTTATCTTTTACGGTTGGCATGGTCTAAAGTCATCATAAAAAGCTTTGCAATTATTTAGTCACGCTGCCGACATATATTCTTAAAGATCCCATGTTGTGATACGATGCTATAAATAAAATGGACTCATCCCGACACCCCTTTTTCGCAAAATCGTAATATGTACACCACAATTTTAATTATAACAAAATAACTACGACATTGGTAGTAAATCTGACTGCAGAAATGATTTCTACACTCAAAAACACATGGGGTAGCCAAGTTTCTCTCGAACACTCCGATTAGTTACCGAGATATCGTCGATTTTCTTACAGAATCTGCTACTGCGTGGTCCACATTTTAGGAGTATTTTCCTATATGTGGGTCATCCATATTTTGCCGACCTTTACAACCCCATAACTTTTTTATTTATGAACCGATTCTTAAAATTCAAGAAGCTTAATTCTTAGGATTGAAAATTCTTTCTTAGGTACCAAAAAAAAGGGGGCTAAAGTGAAAATTTAAATTTTCATTGGCATTGCTATAGAACGACACAAACTACTTTTAGGTAAGGGGGCCGTCTTGTGTGGCGTCAGACCGGGATGCCCCTCCGATCATGTGACTACATATCTAAATATAGCCAGCCGCCTGTCACCAAAAATCGTGTAGAGAATCTTTGATAGCATGATGCCTTGGTGCGATGTTTTTCCAGGAATTCCGGTAATGTGATCATGATGCAGTGAGCACTGTGCTGCTGCTGCTTTTCTCCCTTGTGCATTGTCGTGCCCGAGTGGGGAAGGGGGTTAATCTTCTGGCGTCTTTTCAGCAATTTCCGCGGGCTTTATTTTTTGGGGGTTTACCGTGTTTCAATTTCAAGCATCACTACCGGAATTCGAAAATGTTATTAACATATCGGAAACCTTTTGTTACCAATTAGTGAGCTGCAGTTAGCGGCAAGTGTGAAATTTTACTGTGCGAAACACCTGTATCGATACGGATAATATGTCAAGCCACTGACCAAACATGTCGTTCCATTCGGTTTCTCCAAAGATTCTACACGTTCTTTGGTATCTCCAAGGCCTTCTATATAGTCTGTGGCGGGTATCCCAGGATGGGATGACATGCACATGAGCATGACTAAAATTAGCCACTAATCAGGCAGATGCATCGTTCTACGTTTAGCCCCATGTCAAGCCCTGCAAGGGCATTAAAAAAAAAAATTAGGCCTGCACTACACTACTTCCATCACATAGTTTAGTTTTGAAGTACGGCTGTGGTCAGGCTAGTCGCCTATCAGCCGTTCGTTGCTTTCATTGCTTGTTCCTTCCTGCTCGTTGTTTTCACACTCTGTTATCTGTAGGTTGGTGCTCATGAATCTGGCAGTCTGAAACCAATCTAGGTTCATGGAGAATTTATATGTGAGCAATTGCCAAAACGTGAGGCTCTCTTGAGACTCAGTGGTGCAAAAAAATTTTTCTTACCAATTTGACTCCCTTTTCTGTCAGTCACAGATTGATATTTAGAGCTCATATTCCTAGAGTATCAGAGCAAGGAGATGTACGGTTTTGGAGATATGGGTCTATTGGTTTGGCAACCACTGTATTTCTTGTATGTAACAGTGATGACAAAAACAGATAAACAGCAAGGCAAATTATGGACTTTAAATTCCATTTGTTTAGTAAACAAAGACTTTGTACACTATGAACTCCATTCATAATGGTAATATAAATGACAAGCTTTGTAACAATGACGCAGTGCTCAGAACATGTCATCATTGTTATGTACAAGAAAGGACACACATTGGACATTATCATTGACAACACATCACAATAGTGAAAGGCTGTACAAATGCAGTTATCAAAGCCTCAGTACCAGAAAAACACATGTGTAAAACAATTTTTAAACTAATATGAGGCAAAAGCACAAAATCAATGGAACTGACTTGTACATAACAGTGATGACAAACATGACTTGTACGTAACATTGATGACACAATGTACAGGAAAAGGCAAAGTCATGCCTCCAGAGAGAAATGCGCACTCTAAGAACAAAAAAAACCCCAGGAGAGGTTTCTTTTGCTTTGAAACAGATATCAGGTCATATCAAAGACTGGACGATCACAATTATGTTGCTAATTATGACAAACAGTACTTATACATAACAGTGATGACAAAACATACTGTGAAAAGGTAAAATCATGCCTACAAAGAACAAATTTGCACTATGAGATACACAGATCAATAAAGATGTATTTTGTTTCCTTGCATGTATGAAATATATGTTGAAAACTTATTGATATTAGCTATGATGACAAATATTACTTGTACATATAACAATGATGACACAATGACACAATGTATTGGAAAAAGGTATATCATACCAACAAAGAACAAATGTGTATTTTTGAGTTAGACAGATAAACAAGGACATGTTTGTTTATTTGTTTGAGTAAAAAGAACACACATGATTTAAAAAATGTTTGCTCTTAAGACGATGTAGTTTCTAGTACGTCAGTCAGTCTTGTACGGCTGCATGACGACACCCCAAACGTCATCACTAAGCACAAAAGCTAAATCTATAACCACAGAAATGACCCATCTCTTGAAGTTTGTTCACACATCACACTCTTGTTCCAGGAATCCAATGTAAACACCGCAATTTCACTAAAATATTCAATAGGGTAGCCTAAAAACACTCAAAACAGTCCAGTACGTCACATTCAACGTAAGATTCTTGTGCGTCACCGGAGGCTGACGGCAATGACTACTTTCTTTTTTCTCTTTCCCCTGTTGCCTCCGCTGTTCTGGGGAAGCGAGTAAGGGGAAGTTTCTCAAGAAAATAATTATATCCGGGCGCTGTTGATGATCCGTTCAAAACAAAAGTAGGCTAAAATTCAGACTTCCGGTACGTCGCAAAGTGACGCCAATCACGGCGAATGTTAAACAGCCGACCGAAATCGTAGATCTAGGAACCCGATGTTCCTTTCGCGCATCGCGGCTTTTGAAGTATTGAATAAACGACGAAAAGCAAAAAGATTTAACCAGCTACGGTGATTGTACTGAAAAATAATGATGTTTTCTGAAACACCTAGTCCGTGACGACACGACTGACACACAAGTGATCCTAATTGTTAGTTTATTTGCAAACAAATAAACCGATTTCTTGAGCAAGTTAACCTTTCTCGATGACAAATAGCATAGGATCAAAGCACACGTAAAAAAAAACCCACCCAAAAATACTAAATTTTGGACATTCTTGGAAGTTTGCATTGATGTGCTCAAAATGACAGTCCAGGAATCACTAAAAAACGAACATTTTTGGCAAAAAAATTTACGAACTCAAGATTGTAAAGCTGACATGGGGTCTGAAACTGCTAATGCAGGTTCTACATCCTATATTTGACATGTGTATAAGTTTTGGAGGAATAAATACTAATGCATCACATTTTATGCACACTAATGTGAGATGTGTGTTTTTCCCCACGTTTTGGCAATGGCTCATATATATATATTATATATATATATATATAGGATACTTTTTTGAGCTGTCATGGAGTTACTCAGTCACCCCTGCTTTGCAATAGAAGCTCTGTGAATGTAAACAAAGCAATGGACGTTTTTAGAGTGCAATACCCTGTAAAAACTGGTAGCCCGAAAAGTGCCAGTTTGCAGAGGGCCAACAACCCGACCCAGTAAAAAACAGAAAGTTGTAGAAACACCAACAAATACACTGTATTATTTTTCCATCTTGGGAGACGGAGAAACTTCTGTATCAGCAGGAACAATGAAAAACAGAGGACAAGGCCGAAAGGACTCTTCTGACCCGAATCCTTCTTTGTCGAACAAGTCTCTCCGGATTGCGTCGTGGAATGTTCGCACCATGTATGAAGCAGAAAAGAGTTCTCAAGTGGCACGAGTGATGAAGAGATACGGGCTGCACATACTAGGAGTCAGCGAAACCCACTGGATACAGTCTGGACAGAAGTAGCTCAGCTCGGGGGAACAAATATGTTGTATTCTGGGAGGGAAGACAAGCACCATGCGGAGGGAGTTGGAATTATTTTGAGCA